ATTTTGAATATGACAGAGCGCCATCTACCGGAATAAATATCAACTAAACGTTGATTCAATTTGTTTGCCCCTGAGTATTGGTCAAATACCCCTAATATCTTGAGAGAGAGATTTATCAATAAAAGCCAATCATGTACGCGTTTCGTGGCTGTAGACCCTCTTCAGTGTGATGCAGCCTGTATGTTCGAGCCTTTCCTATTTATATATTGACGTATATTTCACAAGTTTATTGAAGATATTGTGGTCGTAGATTCTCTTAAGTCGAACCTATTGTTTGGTAAAAAAAAAGTAAGCCTTAAATAAAAAGACAATTTCCCGCAGACGACTAACGTAACTAACGGAAGATTTTCGGAAGTCCCCCCCTCGTTAAGCCTAATTGGACCAAACGACAGTCGAGAAAGCCGTCATTTGTCCATCGGTAGCCATCTGTGAGCTGTAATTGTGGTTTATAGAGAGGGCGCTTATAAACAATGTAATGGGGGGGAGGGAGGGAGGTTTGAGTAATGGCCGCGCTGTTCTGATTGTTGCCACTGCCCCCTTCCATTTTAATAATCCACTTCCGCCGCGGAACCTTTTTTTTTTTCTTTTCTTTTTTTCCCTCTCTGCTGGTGATTGCTCAGCTTCTGGCGGAATTCGTTCCCATACGGGGTCCAATCACAGATTATTGTTCTTTGTTCTTTTAGCGAAAATTGTATCCTCAAATAACTATCTAATAAACAAGAGCTAAAATTCCTCTACAATTATAAACATGACTAAAGTGTGTGATAACACCATATAAGCTCAGCTAGATTTAAAGATTTTATTAATAAAAGAAAATTCGCTGAGACAATACAAGCTTTCGGGCGCAGCAGCCCTTTGACAGGGTTTTAACTACACACGATTCTAAAATATATATATATTATATAATCTAAAAATGCAAATATTTTATTTCATTTTAAAAACATATATTTTATTTTTCATTCATTGACTGTTATACATTTTTGACCATATATTCAAAATAATAGCACTTTAATTATTGTTGTTGTAAATATGTAAAGTGAACCCTACCTTTTCTAATGAAAATCACGAATATAGAATTCATTTTCTAAATTTTATATTACTGTGATATAAATAATTTTATATGATGTATATTTTTACTTCAAGAGATTCAAAATAAAAATCTGCTTGAAAGGTAAATAATAATTTTTATTTTTCCACGACTGCACCTCTTTTCAACAATCAAACACAAAAAATTTCTAATCTATAACATATATATATTTAAAATTTCGCCGAAGGGATTATAATATTAACAAAATTTAAAGATCAACAGACGATTGCAAAAAACTTTAGGGCAAAAAGTTTCTTCAATAAAGAATGGCGACCCTAAGTATTGGAACATGATCTTCTTCAGGTATAAGATAACCTTCATTTATTATATCATTAACACAATTTGTCAATCTGAAGAATTGCAACGAGTTTCTTCATTACTAATAAACTGACAAGCTTTAAAGCGTCAGCTTATCATCAGGCTATGAGAAAACCTTTGAAAACGTGTCATTAGAATAGAAACTTGTTTATAATCTCCAGGTTTTTTTTTGCTATATTATGTTTATAATTTTTGAAATTATATTCTAGAATATTTATTATCATATACCCTTGTATATGTTATCAAATTTTAGTTTTGAGGATTGATCAGAGAGAAGTTATCCTTTACTATTGTAAACATACGTAGACATATTCACTTGAATGCATTGACATCGTAGAAGATCAAATAGAACAAGGGTCCCAGGTTCTAATGTGTAAACGCTGGTTTAAAAAAAGTTTTTTTTTATCTTTTGACTGACCTTCTAGTTAGAAGGTTGTTTAATGAAAGATGGATTTTTGGTATACACTTGTATGTTAGCTGACATCTTAGAACCATATCCAAAACATTCGCTTGAATGCATTGACATTGTAAAAAAGCAAGTAGAACAAGGAGTCTCAGGTTCTAATCTTTTGTGGAATTCCAAGGACATCTAGACTTATATCAATGTCCTTCTAGAGATTCCATTCAACATTATTACATCTTGAGTAAAATCAATCATACCTCCAGGGAAAACTATATTTTCAAAAACATTTTTATTATTATCTAGCTTTCGGGCACGGACCTCCTTCTACAGGAGAAAACCTGGTATAATGATACGCTAATAGAACGCGAGTTAAATAGAATCGGATACTGTTTTACATAATACCATGTTTTCTCCTGTAAAAGGGCGTACGTGCTCGAAAGCTAGAGAACAATAAAAATGTTTTTGAAAAGACACTTTTCCCTGGAGGAATGATTGATTTTACTCAATATTTATTCAAGGGATTATTTGATAGAATTATTACATCTTATAACACAGCAGTCATATCATCTAAGTCAATCTTTCCCGCAAACATCAAACACACTTTTTTTAGGGGGGAAAAAAGTGAGTGAAATAAATAGAGAGAAACCTTCTACCATATCCAGAACAATTACCAACATCAATTAGCCACAAACAAATCCAAACAAAAGCTTTCAAACAAAAATCAGGAGTTTCAAATGGAGCGTTCAACCGTTTCAACATAAGATCGGTCAAAAACTAATAAATAATTTATCACAGAAAAATCTTCCTCTCATAGACTAAAACAAAATAAATAAGAAACCCCCCCCCATTCTATTGTTTTACTAAAATCGAGCATTTATCAATGAGTTGTGGACTTTACAGCTATTTAGAAAAGGAGGGAAAAAATAAAAAGAAGGAAAACAAAGAGCCAAGTTTTAACAGATTAGCTGTTAATGAGCCTAAGATATCGTTAATTACTCGGTGGTTACAAGCCGGACAGACAAAAGGAACACCCCCCCCTCTCCATTTAAAACAAAAGATATCGTTGTGGGTTTTTGTCCCTGCGGCTTTTCTTGCCCAAACTTTTCTCGCCTGGCAAACAAAAATAAAACAAATTTCTAAGATAAAGGATTTTCTGCAACGTCATTAAGATTGGTGTTTATAATAGTGAAGTGGCGTGAAGAAAAATAAGTAAAAAAAAGGTAAGAAATTACTGTTTGTTTTTTATTTAATTAAAAAAATTAGAAAGATAAACCAGATCTAAGTATGTAAATATGTCTCCATTCAATTGAAAAAGATAAATTTTTCTTTTGGAAAGTTAAGTTAGTATAGTAAATATTTCAAAAAATTGTGGTTAAAATTGATCTCTTTTCCCAATATAGGAATTGTCTTTGTTTGTAGTTATATGGCAAAAGAGAACGATTTCTTTACTGGATGTTAATTATATATAACTTTTACCTTTTTATTATTCTAATTTTTATTGAATTGTAGGTTTTTAAATATATATATGTGATAACATAAAAAAAAAAGTCCTTACATGAGTATTTTTTTAGTTGACAGAACGCCATCTATTGGAACAAAAATCAACTAAACGTTAATTTAGGTTTATATCTTAACTAGACGAATGGCCCGGGCAACGCACGGGTTTTACCCGAGTGCGTATATATTTTAAAAACGTTTTAATTCAAATACTATTCGTTACAATTATAAATTGGCGCCATGGATGTCACTCTTGTGAAACGTCCCGTTCCAAACTGTGTGTTTTTAAAATATTTTAATTAAAATACTATTCGTTACAATTATAAATTGGCGCCATGGATGTCACTCTTGTGAAACGTCCCGCCCCAAACTGTGTGTGTCTTGAAAATATCAAAATAAAAATGTGAATTTTCATAAAGATTTCATCATGTCGATTTTTTTTTTTTTTTGCATTTATATATTAACTTTATGAACGGAAAAATATGTCCAGGGTAGCCTAGTGGTCATGGCATCTGCCCGGTAAGCGGAAGGTCGTGGGTTCGATTCCCATCCCTTGACACTTTTTTTATTTTATCCATTCTGACCAAAATCTATCCGTGAACTTCACACAGTGAACGTCACACAGACAGAATAAGGCAATTATATAAGTAGATATTTGGTTATCCCATTTCATTGATAAACCAAGAAAAGCTTAAACCAAGTACGCGTTTCGGGCTGTTGGCCCTCGTCAGTGTGGTACAGGTTATGTATCATTGTCCAAAAATCTGGTTCAAGATTTTTTCCGAAGAAATCAAGAAATTGGAAATTTAGGTCGAATTTAGAAAGCCATTTTCGTATATTTACATATATCTATTTGCCATATCATACCCTTATGTTACATATTTACAAAAAAATTTGCATAAGCGTTTGTTTTCTCCTTTGAGTCAGTCAGCCACTATAATAGCATCTTATTTGCACATGAAAATATCTAAGTAGAGAAGAGCCATTTATTATCCGTTTCGATGAAGTGTAGGTCAAATATAAAAATTGACAACCAATTCGTTCAATTTTCTATTAATAAAACTTTATAAGATGGGCCATCAATTGTCATCGATGAAGAGAGGAAAATTACCCGGTTGTTAGTTATCACTTTTAACCATCTCTTCCTGTCTGCTCCATCGAAGAGTCTAACTATTAGTGTTAGTATCGTGGCGATATGCAAGCTTGGTATTAGCAGTTTGAATGTAAGACGACCATGTAAGTCTGAATAGGATGTCAACTTTCGATACAGCAAGTTCTGTAGCATTATAGACAGTTTACATATGGGGAAACTATGTAATTTTATAAGAAATTTAAACTATTTTTGATACATACTCTCATGGTCAAAGGAAGCTTATCGGGATTCAGACAATAACTCAGAAAGATATTTGATACAGTGATCTTTATTGAAGACACAAGATAACGTGTAAATAAAATTTACTCTTATAAATGACTGCGGCGTATAATTATAAAGCTATACAAACAGTTTTACCGCATAAGTTTCTTTTTTATTTATGAAAAATCATTTTTAATTTCAAAGAGAAATATTTAATATTTCTAACTTTTAGATGACGTATGAAAAGGTTGAATACATGAAGAATGATGGACTATATATGAAGATGTGACGTATTGAAGAGTGAAAAATATGAAGAGTAATGGCGAACGGAAAAATAAAAGTGTCCAGGGATGGGAATCGAACCCACAACCTTCTGCTTACCGGGCAGGTGCCATGTCCACTAGGCTATCTTGGACGATATTTCTCCGTAAAACTGTTTGTATAGCTTTAAAATTTACTCTATCTCCTAAAAAAACCGACAACCGTTGGTAGGACAGTAGAGATAAACAACACAGACAATAGACACAACACAGAAGATGGATCCAACTTGAAGAAAGGTCGATGTTAAACTCCACTTTCTGTAAATAACTGTTATGTTTACTTCTGTATCTGGGAGAATCCTGTATGGGACGTGTATCTTTAATAAAGGTTTTGTTGTTGTTGTTATGGAAATACTTATTGTTTAAAAGTCTCTTTTAAAGATATTCTATCTTGGCCTGTGAAAGTAATTCCAGCCTAATTTAATATAAAAATAAACTTATATGAAAACAGAGTAGACATATATTACAGCCTTATTATTATTTATTTAAGTAACCCAGGTTCCTGGAGCGTACAGAAGTCGCCAACTACCCGGGATGTCCTTCTGACCTAAGTCTTCTAGGATTTATATACAATGCCAGTGGAAGTCCAATTAATGAGGTGTCGCCAGGCAGATTTCTTTCTTGGGAGATTTTCTAGGGATGCTGGACATATGTTGGTGATACCTAGGAGAGTGGCTGTCTGGAATCTTTGGTATTGGAAGGTTGGGCAAGTGAAGAGGAGGTGGTCTACGGTTTGGTCTTCATCTTGGCAGTGGGGGCAAATTGGGGTCTTCTTTCGATACCGTTGCAAGGTCTGCCTGAATGTAACCATGGCCGGTTAAAATTGTTGTGGAGGTAGATTATTATTACAGCCTGTTGAAGGAAGTTATTGTCCAAAATCTATTGCCAAGCATTCAACCAGCATGTATCATCCATCCACCACGCACGTATATTTAAGAAAAAAAAAAGACTTTCAAACAGAAATAATGTAGCATATTTTCTCTCATTATATAGTAGGTATATAAACTATGTATATAATAACGTGTATATAAATAAAAAATGCATTTATTATTAAATTGTTAAAGTGATAATCCTGTTGAAGGATTGACAAGTCTGAAAGCTTGGAGATAAAAAGTTGCACAAGAAACTTAACCCTGGAAGCTTTATTTATTTTATAAGATTTTATCTTTTAATAAAGAAATATGTTAGAGTAAAAATATCAAACTTCCAGGAGAAAAAATTCTAAATCTTTAATTTCTAGGTTTCAGGCACAAACGTTCTTATACAGGAGAAAACATGTGTTTTATCATTGTATCATGTTTTCTACTTTGGAGGGGCGTTCATACCTTTTTTTTTTAATTATCCCAAGTACACGTGGTACAGGCCATGATAATCATGGTGGGTAGTTAGCGACTGCTTTTACTGTAAGCGCACCACATGTCTACACATGTGAAAAGCAGTTCGACTTACAAATGTGCCAGAGCCCCGTTTGGTTACTTGCACTAGCTGGTGGGGTTGGAATTTTGCAAGAATCGGGTGCCATTGGAGCATTTTTTTTTATCAGAAAAAAGTATCCAATGCGGGAATCGAACCTGGGTCGTATTGATCGAAAACCAAACGGTTTAACCAGCCTTCCACCGACCCCCGCGTTTGTGCCTGAAAGCTAGATATTGAAGATTTTGAAAAGAAACTTCTCCACTGTCAGCCTGATATACTTAGCTTAATATCGATACGAGAGATTGTTTTATTGAAAAAAAAAAACGGTTACTTGTAGCTCCCCGTCGTTAGCTTTAATCTTCCTTTAGCAATGACACACGACTATTCTTCCTGTGGACGGGTTACACTTACATCGCCCGCTCAAGTCCATCTGGGAACTTTTCCATCTTAAGAAGGTTCAGTGGTGGGTCTGGTAAGGAGAGCAAGTCAAGAGGTGAGTCCCCGGATATCTACAGTGATACTGTAGTGGGCAGATAGTTAAAGAAAGGGTATTCTATATACAGTTACGAGCGTCATTCTTCGTCGCCTCTGTCACGGTTTGCTTTTTTTTTTTTGGAATGGCGCCCTCCTATTGGTCGGCTACGATCACGCCACCTTTGCCCCCCCCCCCCCCCCCCCCCCATTTTTGTAACTATTGTGTTGGAGCGGGTCGCTCCTTAAATAAATGCATATATTAGTTAATAACCAAATGGAATCCTCTCTTTTTCCCAGTAAGAGACGCCTACGGAAGCCAACAGTACATAGACAGATAAAGCACATAGGCTATAGTTATTAACTAACATATGCATTTATTTAAGGCGCCAAATTATAATTGTAACAAATAGTATTTGAATCAAAACATTCAATCGGGTAAAACATGGGCGTTGCCCGGGTCATTCGGCTAGTGAAAGTATAAATTGGAAAGGGTACATTAGAGTTATAATACAGTTACAAGTTCATGGGCAGCTAGGGGAATGATGTGGGGATTTAATTATTTTATTTATTTACTTATGTTGTAATTTGGATAAACAGAATACTCTCAGTTAGTCTCCGATAGATGGCAGTAGAATATCAGTAGAACTACATTGTACGACCAGGTATTTCAATATAAGGCTTACAGATATAGCTATGACCCGGAGTGTGGTACAGCTAGCTCACTGACTAAATGAGCTCCCAACACAAAAAGGGATGCGCCCTCCACTATTTTTTTGTCGCGACGCCCGAGGGGTAGGTGGCGCTGTGTGATAACATTGTTGGAGCAGTGTCATCGCAGCTGTCGCGCCAATTATGTCGCGGAATAAAAAAACAAATCTTCACTTTGTCAACTACCGCCCTTGTTAAGTTATTAGGGTCCCGCGCTGTGTGTAGTTTTTATATCCTTTGTTTCCCTGGTTAACCTTTGTAATTAATATTGGAGTTGTGGAATGGCTTTTTTTACTTTTTATTTTAACTTTGTCGTCTCTAATTGGCCGCTTTTTTATAAATAGTTCTTGTTGGATTTGTTTGTTTTTAAAGTGTCTTCATTTATTTCCTTTGTTTAGACGTTTTGTTGACGTTTAGAATAGTCAGGCGTTTAGATGTTTCTATGTGCGGGGAATGTGTTTTCTTTTTGGATTGAAATTGTTTCACACCACTCCTGTGTACTTACACACACTTTCAGACACAAATATACACTCTTGTACGTATTTGTATACCTACACTCATAGACAAGACTTAAGGAAGTTGTACCTTTTATCATGTATATCAGGATTGAGACAATAACTCTGAAAGATATTACAGTGACCTTTATTGAAGACACACGAGATAACTACACTCATGGACAAAACTTAAGGAAGTTGTACCTTTCAGCATGTATATCGGTATTCAGACAATAACTCTGAAAGATATTATAGTAACCTTTATTGAAGATACACGAGATAACTACACTCATAGACAAGACTTAAGGAAGTTGTACCTTTCAGCATGTATATCGGGATTCAGACAATAACTCCGAAAGATATTACAGTGACCTTTATTGAAGACACACGAGATAACTACACTCATGGACAAAACTTAAGGAAGTTGTACCTTTCAGCATGTATATCGGTATTCAGACAATAACTCTGAAAGATATTATAGTAACCTTTATTGAAGATACACGAGATAACTACACTCATAGACAAGACTTAAGGAAGTTGTACCTTTCAGCATGTATATCGGGATTCAGACAATAACTCCGAAAGATATTACAGTGACCTTTATTGAAGATACGCGAGATAACTACACTCATAGACAAGACTTAAGGAAGTTGTACCTTTCAGCATGTATATCGGGATTCAGACAATAACTCTGAAAGATATTATAGTAACCTTTATTGAAGACACACGAGATAACTACACTCATGGACAAAACTTAAGGAAGTTGTACCTTTTAACATGTATATCGGGATTCAGACAATAACTCTGAAAGATATTACAGTGACCTTTATTGAAGACATACGAGATAACTACACTCATGGACAAGACTTAAGGAAGTTGTACCTTTTAACATGTATATCGGGATTCAGACAATAACTCTGAAATATATTACAGTGACCTTTATTGAAGACACACGAGATAACTACACTCATGGACAAAACTTAAGGAAGTTGTACCTTTTAGCATGTATATCGGGATTCAGACAATAACTCTGAAAGATATTATAGTAACCTTTATTGAAGACACACGAGATAACTACACTCATAGACAAGACTTAAGGAAGTTGTACCTTTTATCATGTATAATCAGGATTCAGACAATAACTCTGAAAATATTATAGTGACTTTTATTGAAGATACACGAGATAACCAAGTGTGAAAAAAATTATCTCTGTCTTCTTGAAAGAAATAACATTGGAATCATCAAAGACTTTTCCACTTCATCAAGTTCTGTCCACGAGTGTATACAACGACAACAAGCCTTTATTAAGGACACTCGTCTCATACAGGATTCTCCCAGATACAGAGGTAAACAGTTATCTGCAGAAAGTGGAGAACAACATCAATCTTTCCTCAACTTGGGTCCATCTTCTGTGTTAAGACTTTTGACTATGCTGTTCTCCAGAATTTGTGAAGCCAATGTATTCGTCTTGCTTTTCATTACGTTTGCCAATAAAACCTCTAGCGAATTGTTTCAATAAGCATTCATTTTAGCGGAGAATTACTCTCACATCTTCCAAAGTCAACTACTAAAACGTCCATATGAATGTATACAAACACATGTGAGCATTTACCATCACACGGTAGTTCCACTAACTATCCGACTTACTAGTAACCATTATAATAAGGCACAAATTGGATTATAGGCCGAGGCCAAATCCAAATCAATAAATAGTGTGTGACGTTTCGATTACAGCGTTGTTACCGAAACGTCAAACACTATTTATTTATTTGGATTTGGCCTTAATACCATGTGTTAGTAATCGCTATGTATAGTGGGGCCAGCTAATCCATTGTAAGCTATCCCATAGGCAGTAACCTGACCATAGACATTCCTAGCAGTCCACTACATCACTACAGCTACTGGAAAGGTAGATATCACCCACAGTCTACGTATCTACACCCCCCACACCTAGACCCCATCTACCAGGGGGCCTTCACGCCCCGCCCTACATTAGTTAATATC